CAGGAAGCAGGACACAGGACACAACAGGAAATTAAAATCCAGATTCGGTGACCTTTTTAGCTAAGATAGTTAAGAGCTTCTCATGGATTTAATCCAGCTCTGAGCCAAATTAATTTTTTCCGAAGGATTTGTTTTCTGTGCATGCACAGCTGTTTGGCTTTTCTCTCCTGACCCAAGCAGAGGCTCTCCCTGCTGTGCTGGGGTCATTGTGGCCTCAGCAACGCAAGAGAAACAGCCCTGCTGCAGCAGGGAGATGGGGCTGGTGTGCCCAGCTGCTTGGGTTTGGTCCCTGCTTGAGGCTTGGCTGTCTTGTAATAACGCCGAAGCATGCGAGCCAGTGGGCAGAAGGCACTGGGTCGCTCTGTGCTCCCACGGGACCGTAGCAGTTTATTTCCACCTGTGGGCCTCAGTTTCCCACCTTAGTGCTGGCCACGATAGCGGCTCGCTCTGTGAGGTGTTTGGAGGGATCTTCTGTCGATAAGTGTTGGAGCTGGGCAGTGGCACACGTGCTGCTGTTCTGCGTTAAAGAATCCTCTGAAAAGGTCTGTGGAGAGAAGTGATCCCCATCTCAGTCTTGTGTGGGGATTTGCTATTAACCATCATGAGACTAGGACTATTTAAACAACTCTTCTCTTGTGAGCTGGATTTGGGTGTGCAGCTCAACTAGGAAAGACTTTTTTGTTACAAATCCTCCACCAAGGCTGTTCCCACAAACCAGTCAGGCCTTTCAGATCAATTAGATGTGTTGAAATCTCACTTGCACTAAGTAACTTCAGCATATTAATCCTGAAGCTAAACTTATTTTTGCATTAGGTTTTTCAGGTTGACACACTGAGAAATTGAAAACCAAAACAAAAACCGTCATATCTTCCTAAAGTACTTTAGTACATTTACATTTAGTACATTTAGACCGTGTACATCACGGAGCAGTGAGGGACAGCGATGTACTTGCTGGGTGCTGTGCACATGTTCCCTGAAACACTGGGGGAGCCCTTGTGTTTCGCTGCCCTTCCTCCATTCCTGTGCAGTTGGTTTCATATCTGAGTCCTGCTGCTTGAAGGAGACTTCTTCAAAGCTTTTAGCACAGTTGGGCTTAGGAGATACTTTAAATAACTGCAGCATGAAAGCTTTGGACTAGGAGTCACTTTAACACTCATTTTTCCTTTAACTTGCAATGCCGTATTATCTGACTCGGTTTGTGTTTTTGGGGTTTTGAGTTGGTGTGTTTTCCTGTTTTTCCTTTTGCCTCCCCGTGTTTATCTGAAATCTTTGCCGCAGCGATGCGACTTCCTGCCGCTCTGAACTCCGAGCGTTTCCTTCCTTGACCTCCGTGTAGTTCTTCAGCAACAACAGTCTTGATTTTTCGTGCTGCTCACGCTCTTGCCCACAGACTCAGAGTGGTTAGGTGGAAAGGACCTCTGGAGGTCATGGTCATTTGGCCACCTCCGGCGTGAAGCAGGACCATTGCAGCACTGGACTGTGTTGCACAAAGCGGGTTTCGTCGTTGCTAGGTGAGCAGTGCTCTGTATTTCTGGTGTGATGGTGACAGCTGTTGAGTTCCTCTGGGACCTGCGTGCGGGTTTTATATCCCATTTGATGAAAGGTGGAACAGTTTTCACGCTGGGTTTGATACTGCTGTACAGCTGTATGGTAACACTTGATGCAGCTCGTATATAGTGAAGGGGCTCCATCCATCCTCCTTTTATTAAATTGTCACAGTTAAAGAATTCTGTGCATTAGAAAAAGGTAATTCACAGCTGTCAGGTAAAGGAAAACTTTCCATTTCTGTTTCTGAAGGTGCAGGCAAAATTGTATTTATCAGTGTAGCTGACAGAAACACCAGTACTGAGTACAGCGTCTGGAAGATAATGAACTGCTCGCTGAAGAGCTCAGAGTCTCGAAACACTTAAATTAGTTGCCTTGTCCCTTGTGCCCTACTTAGTTTCAATGGATACAGCTCATCTGTTTTCTTCACCGCCGCCCCCCCCAGTTAAAAGCCCTACAACCGAATGTTTGCTGCCCCCGCTTCAGAGTTTCTTTGGCTCTTGATTTTTGTGATGGACCTGTCCTTTCAGGCTCGTAGGCTGTCAGTTTGGGGGTAGGGAGTTTTACTTGCATTTTTGAAGTCTTGATTGTGCTTGATTTTTATGGCATGTTAAGTGGGGTTTTGTGCAGGTACAAAGCTTCTGGCAGGAAATTGTTTTCACATAGTAACTTTTCCTCATTGTAAATAACCTCTTACCTGATGGTTTAATACACTTGCTACTTAGATTTCTATTCTGTTGAAAACTAAGGGGTGTCCCAGAAGATGCTCATGGAAACTTTTTATTCTTTCTTTGAATTCAAAATTTTTGTGTTTTCAGATCTTTAAATTTTATTCTTGAATTCACTTTATATGTCCATCTTTCTTGTTTGTGGCTGCATTTTGAGCACTTTCATTTCATACCTTATAAAAATTGTTTATTTTTTGGCCTGGATTATGCTGCTGATAGAGCAGGGTGAAGTTACAGAGTAGAGGTGTGTGGTGTTGCTAGCAGGTCCAACCTGATTCTTCCATAAAATCATTCAAGTCTCACTAGAAATGGGGGCAGGTAGCCCTAGGGGAGTTTCTTTCAGCTATGGTGGCTACACTCTGCTTTGTTTTCCAGCTTGATTTAATTCCTGACCAGTTTTGGATAGCTATTCTGCTAATAATTGTCCAGCTAAATTTGTTTTCCTCCTGGTTTTTGTATGCCATTACCTTTACTGTTGAATAGAGAGTAGTCTTATTTCCTCTCAAATTTCCTCCTTCTAAACTGAACAAGCAGAATTTTCTTGTCTGAACCGGTATTTCTTTTTGTTTTGATCTTTCAAGAAGTTCAGTTTTATGATAATGTGATCTTGGATTTTACGTTACTTCCCTTAAGAAAGGCATGGCCTTAACCTCTCTGATTTCTGAGAGGTGTGGCCTCAGGTTATTGTGTTAGAAAGCCTCAGGAATCTCCAAATTACACTTCTGTCACATCAGTATAGAAAACAAAACATTATTAGCAAAGTGTTCATCTGAATCCAGAGAGATTCCTGGCCCCAGCTGCACTTGGAAAGTTTATTTTTGGTAAGGAAGGAATGCGTGTTATTTTTATTTTATTATTATAATACACATTTGCATTTCCCAGAAACATAAAGAAGCCCAGCCAAAATGATCAGTTACCTGTGAAAGGGTTTTTATTGAAGACAGAAGGTCCTTTGCTCGTCCTGAAAAGGGGAGCGTATTCGGCATCAGTCTGCGCTTGTCTCAGCGAGGAAAACCCCTGAATCCTCCTGATGAAATTTAGAGCTTGTCAAGCTGAATTCTTCTTTTGTGCCTGCACATAAATACAGTCTGCAGCCCAGTGTCTAAAAGATGAAGAGTCTTTTAGGAGGTTTTAATATTTTGATGTTAATGTCATGTTTTCTGTTGAAAGCCTTTTGAGAGTCCTCTTGGGTGTTTGCTGCAGGTCTCTGTGTCCCTGACAGTGCACGTGTGCCACAGGATCTGTGAGACACACTTGTGAGGAGGGTCTGGGAAATGATTTTGGGTTTGCCACTGTTAAAGGTGACCCAGGTGCTTTGGGGACAGTGCTGAGAGAGCCTGGGGAGCCAGTCGGGTTTAGGAGCAGCCTGGGGCACACTGAGCCTCTGAGAAGGGATGGAGACCTGCAGATCCTGCCCTGCAGGTCCCCGCTTGCTGTGCCAGGCTCCTAAGGCTGGTGAGCCTCAGTGCAAACCAAAAAGGAGCTGTGGGAGTTTGTGGATACTGGAGTAGGTAGAGTGGCTGTGTTTCTGTCCCGGCTCCATCTCATTTTGCTTCAGTCTGTCTTTGCGTCAGTGCGTATTTGAGGTGTGAAAAAACCCAAGCAGTTCCACTAGTTTGGTTTATCAGAGGCGCAGATGTTGGCTCCTCTGTGGCCCTGTGAAAATATGGCCCTGTTTTTGCAGAAGTCTGTGGGAGACTTGCTTGTGGGCAGTGATTTTTTTGTTTGTTTCTCCTCCTCGTTGTAGAAGGTCAATGCAGCACCAGTTTTCTCTTTATCTCTGTGACTTGGCTGGTAGCAGTGACAAAACTTCGCAGACTCAACTTAAAAAGCAGCACAGCATTTAGGAAGTTCACTGGAAAATGCTGTGAATTGGTGCCTAGAAGTGGCCACATCAGTTTATGAAAGAAGCTGATGTGGGATGTGTAAAACCATCAGTCTTGTCAGGTCTGGCTCTCATTAGAACTTGCAGAGTTGTTATAGCCAGGATGTGTTAAAAATGTGCATAGGACAAGGTTTGTAGCCTAAGAGTGTTGTTTCTTATCAGGGTAACTAATACAGCTGAGAAAAGCACCACTTGCCTGAGACTTCACCGATGCTACTTGGTCTAAAAATCAGATCCTTCTTTTGTTTGCCTTCAAACCTTGCTTTTCTTGTAGTGGTTCATTATGTGATAGAAATGCTTAAAACTGTTAGATGTATGCAAGGAAAATCTGTAATGCAAAGGAAAACCAGTACCATTTCTTCTTTTGTGCTAACATAGGTTTCTCTTAGCATTAGGAGTCTCCTTGGTGAAAAACTTTGCTTTTCCAGAAAGAGTATGTCTTACGAGGTCTTTATGGTTTGTGAACTGTGCAAAGTGATGCTCTCTTTGTAATTCCATACTCGGTACCGTTGGGAAATCAAAGAGAGCAATATGGTTCGTCCATACAGCAAGACTCATATTTTTTACCACAGTAGAATAGAAATGCTTGGTTTGTGGTTCTTTTACTGTCCATGTGACTTCAACCTTGGAAAGACAGACATACAAGTACTGGTAGCAAGGCAAGCTGGAACAAATCCTTCCAGAGTTTTACACTATACTGTAATTTGTGGCCAGGGAAGGGGGTAAAATTAACAGGTTCATAAACGCTGGATCGACCATCTGACCACGCTGGGCTTTTTTGGGCTTTCCATTTCTTTTTGAGGAAAGAAGCTAAATAAACTGGACTTCATCTCTCTCTGTAGGTGAAGTCTGTGATAAATCTGCTGTTTGCTGCCTACACGGGAGATGTATCTGCACTTCGGAGGTAAAAGTCAGTGTGGGGCTGGGAATAGGAAAGCTGCTTTGTTGCATACCTGCTGTGTTTTATTTATGGTTCTACACTGTGTCCATGTTGGGGACATCCATGCTGCACTGGAGAGTCAATACCACGCTCTGAGTTACTGCATTTTAAGTTTTGTTTTGCCTGACTCCTCCCTTAGTTGAATGCATTTGGAAAGAAAAGGTTTGAAAAGTCCTACCTATGCACAACTAGAGAGAGAAGTGTGTCTTTACAAAACAAACAAAATAAAACCACCAACCTTAAATACAAACAACCCCCCCAAACCTAACCATCGAAAAGGTGCCCTCGCACTGTCCTGTAATCCCATTGTTTTCTGTTTCTTCGGATCATTCTAAAATACATTTTCTTAACCATTTTTGACAGTGATGGCAAGATGTACTCCTGCCTGCTTTATAGTTCAGTTCTGAAACTGCCACAAAAACGCATATTGTTGTTGAGGTTAGGAAATCTAGCTTAGCTTTCTAAATCTGGAGTAGAATCTGACAACATTTAAAGTAATAACAGTAAGAGACTAAATAAACATACTGATGTGGCTAGAATATACCTGAATGTAGTTAGTGGCTGGATAAATGTGTGTGGTTTAGCTCTGCTGTGCCAGAGCACTGTCATGTAATGAAAGAGCTCTCCTGATACCTTAATGCTGTTCAAGATTTTCAGACTTGGAGAACTGTCTGGATTTCCTCATCTGGCATAAATTTCCTTTGCCTCAGCTTGTCCCTGTTAGATTTAAAATAAGAAATGGTGACTGCTACATTTCCTGCAAAGACATTTTATTTTCCTTTGTAACAACCAGAGATTAGAAAGGAAGTTAAGCCTTTACCTTACTTTAAAGCCAAAGCAGTAAGGGCCCCTTTTATTTTAACTGAAGATATGGTGTGGTGTGCTCTTGATACTGATTATGCCCTCTCATTTTAGCATAAGGATATTGTTCCATGCTAGTTTTGTAACTTGTTTTACTTATGTAAGACTCTTTTCCATAATCTTTTGTTGTTTTTTTTCCAGATTTGCTCTGTCAGGGATGGATATGGAACAAAGAGACTATGACTCACGAACAGCCCTGCATGTAGCGGCTGCGGAAGGTAACGTCTCTTGTTGGGCGATTTGCCATCTGTTAATGGAATGGGGTCAGCTTTCTTTAAAGCATCTTCCCTTTCTATAGATGCGTACCTGGTTTTTAAATTTTTGTATGTACATACATAAATATATATATATATATA